GCAGTGTTCCCTTGCTCTGTTCTGACAACTGCCTCCTGGTCCAAGTATAGGTTTTGCATTCGAACGATCAAATGTTCTCAGATTCCCATTCTTCTCAGAGTCAGCCACAGTTTGTGCTCTTGGATAGGAAGACTTCATATTGTGAAAATGACAATCCTATTAAAGGCAATTTAAATGTGAAATGCAATCCCAATACAAACACCAATTCCATTCTTCAACGAGATATAAGAGGCAATCACTAATTTCACTGGGAATAGAAAGAGGAACAGAATAAGCAAAACAATCCTTAAAAAGAGAAACAAGGTAGGAAGCATCTCACTCGCTGATTTCAAATCCATTTCACACTGCCATGGTCTGTGGTCAAGACAGCATGATACTGGTACAATGAGAGACACATAGATCAATGGAATAGAACTGTGAAGCCAGAAATCAGCCCATCTACCTATAGACAACTGATTTTTTACAAGGAGATGAAAAGATGAAATCGGTTAAATGTGGAAACAATAGCCTTTTTAACAAATGGTGTTGGCAAAACTAGAAAACTATCTGCAGAAAACTCAAGCAAGATTCACACTTCAAACTATACATAAAAACCAAGTAAAAGTGGATCAAGAACCTAGGACTCCTACAACCAGAAGATAAAATAGGTGAATTCGTCTAAGAATCAAATCTCTATGCACATCCAAAAACTTCTCCAACAGGGTAAAAAGGGAAGCCATGGACTAGAAAAAAGTATTTGGTAATAACATATCAGATACGGGACTTATATCCAGAATTTATAAAATACTTGAGCACCACAACAAGACAAAGGTAAATAATCCAGTAGAAAAACGAGCACAGGATATGAACAGACACTTCACCAAAGAAGACATTCAGATGGCTAGGAAGCACATGAAGAAATGTTCAAAATCCCTAGCTCTAAGAGAGATGCAAATTAAAACATCTATGAGATATTATCTCACCCCAGTCAGAATAGCAAAATTCAATGGCACAGCAAGCAACAAATGCTGGTGAGGTTGTGGAGAAACTGGAACCCGTATTCACTGTTGGTGGGAGTGTAAAATGGTGCAACCCCTGTGAAAGGTGGTATGACGCTTAAAGATACCACTTGACCCAGCAAATTCCACCACAGGGAATATACCCCAAAGAGACCAAAACTGACATCCAAGCAGATATATGCACACCCATGTTTACTGTGGCTTTGTTCACAATAGCAAGAAGTTGGAAACAACCCAAGTGCCCGTCAACAAACGAATGGTTAGAGAAGATGTGGTATACTCATACAATGGAATACTTAACCCTGCATTGAAAAACAAGGAACCCATGCAATATTATTCAAAAAGGATGACCCTGGAGGACATTATGCTGAGTGAAGTATCTCAATCACAGAACAACAAATACTGCATGGTGCCACTGTTGTAAAACAGGACTGACATCAGGGTTGGGGGGAGACTGAGAAAGATGGGTTCAATAATGTATACTGCACTGAAACAGATGAGGGAGAAAAGTGTTTAAAACGGATATGTGATGAGTCCAGAGTGAAGGCTGCATATTGGAGTAGTTTGGGGGAGGGTTTGTAAAATAATGAAAGAATTTTTCTTTTACTTTTTCAAGAGGGTAGTGTACTAGGGGGGAGGGCTGGAAGGGGTGAAAAGTACAACAATGAATAAATGGAGACCTAAAGTCTCTGTAAATTTTCACTGAAATTAATAATAAACTTTAAAAAAAAAGAACCCAGGACTATAAACTTCATTAGAGAAAAGCCTGGAAGAACTCTAGAAGTCCTAATCCTTGGGACAGTCTTCCAAGCATCCTAAAAAGTCTACAATCAGGAGAGGATAAAATAGATGAATGGGACCTTCTAAGAATCAAATCCCTATGCACATGCAAAAACATCTCCAACGGGGAAAAGGGTAGTCACATACTGGGAAAAATGTTTGGTAATGACATGTCTGATAAAGGACTTATATCTAGAACTTGTAGAATACTTGAGTACCACCACAAGATAAAGGTAAACAACCCAATTAAAAAATGGGCACAAGATATGAACAGACATTTCACCAAAGAAGACATTCAGATGGAGAACAAACACATGAAGAAGTGCTCAAAACCCCTAGCTCTAAGAGAGATGCAAATCAAAACAACTATGAGGTATCACCTCAGCCCAGTAAGAACAGCAACATTCAACAGAGCAGCAAACAAATGCTGGTGCATTTGTGGAGAAACTGGAACTCTTCTTCATTGTTGATGAGAATGTAAAATGGTTCAACCACTATGGAAGGCAGTACGGTGCTATCTCAAAAAGTTGGAAATGGAAACACCATTTCACCCAGCAATTCCACTACTGGGAATATACCCTAAAGAAACCATAACTGCCAACCAAGCAGATATATGCACACCCATGTATATTGCTGCTTTGTTCACAACAGCAAATAGTTGGAAACAAGCCAAGTGCCCATCAACAAACGAATGGATAGAGAAACTGTGGTACATTCACAGAATGGAATACTATGCAGTACTGAATCACAAGGAATTCATGAAATATTATACAAAATGGGTGACTCTGGAGGACATTTATGCTGAGTGAAATATCTCAGTCACAAAAAGACAAATACTGCATAATGCCACTGCTGTAAAATGGGACTGACATTGGGTTTGGAGAGATCTTAAGAAAAGGGTTAAATAATTTATACTGCTTTGAGATAGATGAGAGAGAGAACTGTTTAAAAGCAATATACGATTAGTTATTTTTTTTTTTATGACAAGACTTCAGAATATGAGCTGCATAATTAAGTGGACTTTCAGGGGGAGGATTGTATAACAATGAAAGAATTTTTTTTTCTTCAAAAAGAAAAGCGAAATGTGGGAGGGCTGGGTACAGAGGAAAAGTGTGCAACAATGAATGGAAATCCAAAGTGTCTATAAACTTTCATTAAAATTTTTAAAGTACAACTGACAATAACAGAACTAGAAATTACAACAAAAGACAAAGTTCCTGTGCATTATTTTACTAATTTTTTTAAATACTATATTTGAAAATATTTCCCATCATACATGATGTTTAAATCCATGTATTTTTGCAATAATAGCTTCATGATTACTTATTCATTACCTTTTTTGCTGTATAAGAAGGGATTGTTCTTTTCATAGTTCTTAGTAAAAACTCCGGCATGTTATTGTCAATATCCTCACGAGTTCCTTTTTTATGCAGAATTGCAGCTAAGAATGAAATAACCTAGGGGTTGGAAAAAAGTAATGAAATATATCATGATGGGAAAATTCACTTTGTACTACCTACCTATGAATCAAACCCAACCCAACCCACTGTCCTCAAGTCCATTCCCACTCAAGATGACCCTCCACAGGATATCTGAGAGTGTAAATCTTGATGAAAAATTACTGTCCATCTATTTCCCACAGCAGCTGGTGGATTCAAACCACTAAGGTTTCAGTTACCACCACTACACCACCAAGGCTTTTTCACACCTCAACCAATTACAAAGATTGTAAAAATACACGTGCAATGTTGGAGGAGAAATACCTTCTCTAAAAATCTTCATCACAAAATCTTGAAGAACTCATAATATGACACAGGACTGTTTCAAAAGAATACAGCTCATAGTGGCAGTGTCTAAACTGAAGCTCAGATGTGACTGACCCGGAAGCCTATGTTCTCTCCATTATATCATGTGTGGCAACCTTTACTCTTTGTCAATAATTACACAAGTAGTTTGGGTAGACTAGACAGCACTCCATACTGTCAAAAGAATAGTTATGTCTTGGAGAAGGTACAGACAGAGTGAACCTAGGAAACAAAGAAAGCTTTATCTCACATATTTTGGGCACAATGCTAGGAGAGGCTATTCCTTGGAGAGGGGCATCATACTTGAAAAGGTAGAAAGACAGTGAAGGAGAGGAACACCCTCAACCAGATGAACTGACACAGTAACTCGAGCAATGGGCTCAACTATGTCACAGGTGGTGAGGATGGCACAGGATAGGATATAGATCTTCTGTATATAGAATCACTGTAAGTCATGCTTGGCTCAACGGCACTTAACAACAACTTATATACACAAGTGCATACACAGGTGTGCACAGGTATAAAATTTTGTGAAACAGAGCTTCAAAATCTTTGCCTCCAAAGAGCAGCCTGGTTACACCTTCCCTAGGACAGACCTGTATTTTTTCTTGAAGTCCATGGTATGTTCAATGCTCTTCTCCAGCACCACGACTCAAAGTCATTGATGATTCTTCTGTTACCCTTAGTCATTTTCCAGCTCTCAGACACACAGTAAAGCAACTATGATTATGACCATATTTTCTCTACTTCTATCTTTGCTCTTTATCACTCTGAAGAGGTCCTTGACAGCCAATACTTTCCCAATGCCAACTCGACTTTTGATTTCCTGTCTGCTAGTACCAAGAGTGCTAATTATGGATCTGAGCAAAATAAAATCATTAACAACTTCAATCTTTTCTCCATCTATCATGATGCTACCAACTGGCCAGGTAGTTAGGATCTTTTTGTTTTCTTGATGGTGAGATGCAATCCATTTTGAAGGCCACAGTCTTCTGCAACAAATGCTTCAAGGCCTGTTTAGTTTCAGCAAGCAAGGTCATTGATGAGTCTTTCTCCAATTCTGATGCCATGTATTTCTTCATAAAGTCCAGTCTCTCAAATGATCTGTTCAGCATAGAGCTGAAAGGGTACGGAAAAAAGATACATCCTTGACACACTCCTTTTCTGACTGTGAACCATGCAGTGTACCCATGCTCTGTTCACAGAACACTTTCCTGGTCTACGTTTAGGTCACACATGAGCACAGCAAAGTTTCTGGGATTCTAACTCTTCTCGATACTAGCCACAATTTGTTGTGATCCACATAGACAAATGTCTTTGCTATATCAATAAAAATCCTTCTCGTACTGTTTTCAGTCAAGTTACAGCTGACTTTAGTGCCATGGCCTCTTCTAAACCCAGCTTGTATTTCTGGCATTTCTCTGTCAATGTACTGTATCTTCAGTAGGATTTTGCTTCCATGCATTAACAGTGAGACTGTTCAATAATTTCCATAGGCTCTCCTCTTCTGGGAAACGGACTAAGTATGAATCTCTTTCAGTCAGTTGGTCAGGAAGCTGTCCTCCAGATTGCTTGGCACAACCTACTGAGCACATCCAGGGCTGTATCTGTTTGTTGAATTATGTCAGCTAGTATTCCATCAATTCCTGGGGCCTTCTTTTTGGCCAATTCCTTCAGGGTAACTTGAACTTCTTCTTTCAGTACCATTGGTTCTTGATCATATACTACTCCCTAACATAATTTGTATGAGCCACTTCTTTTGGGAATTGGCACTGCCCACTTCTCCCTCTTGTCTTCCTCTTTTGAACATGTACATGCATCTTGCTGTTATTCTATTTTTGCAAAAATGGCTTCTGTCCCTGTATGAGACTCAGTTATTTCACACAGTATCATGTGTTCTAGACTCTCCTATGTTATACGGTTGTTGCCATTGGTCGTTGAATATGAATCGACCCACTGCTGACCCTCTGGTGGGTTTTCAGAGACAGTTAATGGCACCGCAGGAGGGAGGAGATTGCTCATCTTCTCCCACAAAGCAGCTGGTGGTCTCATACCGTGTGCTTTTGGGATTGCAATGCAGTTTCTTGCCACTAGGCCAGGAGAGCTCTCTGTTATATAGTATTTAAAAAACAAACAAACAAACAAAAAAACACACACACACAAAACCCCATCTCACCAAAACAAAACACACCATTGCTCCTTACTGCTGCATAGTATTTCACTACATTCTCAATCCATTTGTTTGCTGACGGACATTTAAGTGAAATCTATTTTCTTGCAACGGTAAAAAAATGCTATGAACATTGGTATGGATTATCTCCATTTGTGTCTCAGTTCTGATGTTAGTTGGATAACTGGTTCTATGTAAATTACATGTTCAGCTTTTTGGGAAAATGCCAAACTGTCTTCCAATCTCTCCACTTCCTCTCCAAGATCTATTGCTTGCTGTCCTGTTATATTTTGTCGCTAAAAGTCACAAGCAACTTGACAGCACATAAACCACAAAACTGGAGTAAGATGGTATCTCATATTGATTTACATCTCTTATTGCCAGTGATTCTGAACATTCCTTCATGCGTCTGCTGGCCATCTATATGTTTTCCTTTATGAAGAATCTTTCAATGTCTTCTGCCCATTTTCTCTTTGGGTTATTGGTCTTTTTCTTGTGGTGGCCCTGCAGTATTATGTAAACATTAGTTATGAGACTCTAGTGTAAAATGCCATTGTCAAATGTTTGCTTCCCTAGTCTAGAGGCTTTCTTTTCACCTTATTGGATAATGTTTTTTTATGTACACAAGCACTTGATACTTAGAAGGCCCCATCTGTCAAATTTAATCCTTTGCTGGTTGTGCACTTCTAGCTATTTTTACAAGCCTATTTATGTCATAAGCTAGGGTTCTATGTTTGGTCCCATTTTGTCTCTTATGATCCTATCGTTTTGGTCTTTACCTCTACGTCTCTGATCTACCTTGGGTTGACTTTGTTATATACTGTGCGGTGTGCATTCTATTTCAGGCTTCTGCAGTTGCTACAATCATTTGTTGAATGTTTCCCCATTTGACAGGTTTTGATTTACTGTCAAATGCCAAATGACTATAGGTAGAGGGGATAATTTCTGTCTAATAATTCCAGAGTCTATTCTACTGGTATATGTGACTGTCATTGTACATGTATCATGCTGTTTTGATTACTACAGCTGTGTAGTATAGGTTTTGAGAACAGGGAGTGCTATGCCATTCATTTCATTTTTATTTTTCCAAAGAGTTTTGCTTATTTGGCGTCTCCTTCTATTACAAATAAAATATAAATTGTCCCTCTCTTTTTAGAACGATTATGATATCTATATTGGGATTGTGTTGACATGTACAATGCTTTTGTTAGGACTGTCATTTTTACAATGTTGAGTATTCCAATCCATGAACAGAGAGCATTTTTCCATTTACTTAGGTCTATTTTTGTTTCTTATAGTAGTGTTACATAGTTTATAAGGTCTTTTGTGTTTCTAATTGTTTTATTCCTGAATTCCTTGAACAATAAAATTGTAATGAAGTAAACACTAAGTGACTGAAATAAAAACTAGGTAAGTATTCCAAAAATTCCAAAATAATTGTTTAGCATGAAATTTAGAGTCAAGCTTAAAATCACTAATGAGGACTTAAGATCTCTGGCAAGTAATTACCTCCAATTTCTGGTATTTCATCCATGTGTAATATGCCTCCAGATGAGTGCTGGATATTAACAATGTGCTTCAAAATGAATAGAATACAGCAAAACTGAGTGCATGAAATCTTCAGAATTCAGTGACATAAGACCATGATTTCTGCCTTACTAGGAAAACTTATCAACACTCTGTGCACTCAGATGAAACAACCTTGCCTGCTGAAAGCGAGGAGGACTTGAAACTTGCTGCAGAGGATCAATGACTATTGCTGTCAATATGATTTACTTTTCAAGAAAATAAACATTCTCATCATCAAATCAACAGGCAACATCATGATAGGTGGAGAAAGAAATTGTCAATGATTTCATCTTACCTGGATCCACAATCAACACCCTTGGTACCAGTAGTCAAATGAGGAAACTTACTGAATTGGGAAAGTTGGCTACCAGGGACCTCTCCAAAGTGAAAAGTAGTGCTATCAGCTGAAGACTAAGATGCACCTGATCCCAGTCATAGTCTTTCAATTACTTGCTATGCAACTGCAAGTTGGGCAATGAACAGCAGAAAGGCAACTGATACTTTTGAGCTGTGGTGCTAGAGAAGAATGTTGAATATCCTATAAAGTGGCAAAAAGATGTTTTGACATAGTACAACCAGGGTGCCTCCTGGAGGCGTTGATGGCAAAAATTCATCTCATAGATGATTCATGCTGTTAGCAGGGACCAGTCCCTGGGAAGACACATCATTCTTGGAATGGTGGAGGGTCAGTGTAAAAGGTGAAGATCCTCAACAAGATAGAAACAGTGACTCCAGCAGTAGAGTCAAGTATGTGTCAGAGATGGTCAGGATGGCCCACGAAAGGGCAACGTTCAAATTCATTGTTTATAGGGTTGATATGAATTGTAGTTCCACTCAATGGCACTTAATAACAGTACCAGCATTCTCTCATTTGCTGTCTCTGAAAAAGCAAATTGTCAGGTTGCAAAGTGAT